AAAAAAGCTGCAGCTAAGAGAGAATCTTACGGAATTCGCTTATTTACTTCACATTCTAAAGTAAGTATGGTAATTACATTTGCTAAGTGTATTTTAAAATGATATGTAATGGACAAATTTGTTAAGATTTTTGAGGATGTTTTGATTTAACAATCGGTCCCTCCCCTCTAATAGCATTCAAGGTAATCATAAAACGGGGAAACTCAATCATTAAAATCAATTAGAAATTAAAGAGGTCGTTTAGGATTAGGACTAATCCTGTGCGCCAGGATAAGTTAGAAAGAATATGGTATATGAATTCACTTAATAATTTAATTTAACTGGCTACTTACACCTATGCCCGGTCCTAAACGACCTCTTTAATTTCTAATTGATTTTATATCTTAAAGGATCTATGTTAAAAACCGTAGTCAATCATTAAAATTACTTGCATATTTGATCTATGTATTTCGATATTGTCGGACGAGAGACAATCTTATATTTCGTTAGACAAAAATTCGTTGAGTAGTGATGAGAGCATTATTTGTATGTCTAGGAACTTGATATAGGTCCCAATTCTTTGATTGGAAAGAATACTTCAAGGAATGAAGATGAGCCAAATGAAATTTTTGTCTCGGCAAACGACATTTCAGTATCCAGAGAACCTACTTCTAATACAATGAAGAAGTTGCCAGCTTCTAATCAAGAAAAACTATTCGCTTCTGCTACTACGTCATACCATGGACTTGATAAATATTTATTGAAAGATGATGTTAATCGAGCCGAGATTATTTGGTGTCTTTTTACTGTAAGGAATCATTTGTCTATCTCTTCTGCTGGCAAGGCAGTGCAGATTTTTTCCAAAATGTTTCCGGACAGCAAAATTGTATCAGCCATGGAGCTTGGTCGTACTAAGATATCATATATGATTGTTTATGGTTTAGCAATATATTTTCATGAGAAGCTAAAGCAAAGAATCAATCACTGTGATTGTTTTGTAGTTTATTTTGATGAGAGCTTAAATAAATATTCTCAGAAGCAGCAAATGGATATAGCAATTCGCTTTTGGTGTACAAATAAAAATGAGGTAGCTACTCATTATTATAGTTCTGCATTTTTAGGACATGCTACACCTCACGATTTAATTCAAGCTTTCAAAGCAGAACTAAAAGATTTAAATTTGAAAAAATTACTTCAAATTTCAATGGATGGTCCAAATGTTAATATCAAATTCTTTAAAGATCTACAGATAGATTTATTTCAATCTCATGATGAAGATGATCCTGTTGTGTTATTTATGGGAACTTGTGGTTTGCATGTTATTAACAATGCTTTCAAAACTTCTTTTTATGCTGTAAAATGGAATGTAGTAACATTTCTAAGAGCACTTTATAATTTGTTTAAAGATAGTCCTGCTCGGAAAAGTGATTTCTTATATTATTCAGGTAGTTCATTGATGCCTTTAAAATTTTGTCCAGTAAGATGGTTAAATAATTCAAAAGTTACAGAAAGAGCACTAGAAATGCTGCCATATTTAAGGAAATACAAGGAAAGTTTGGAAAGAGACAAAAAAGAAATCCTTTCTTACAGTTACAAAGTTGTTGTAGAAGGATTGAATGATAAATGCATGCCAGTTAGGTTGGCTTTTTTCTGTTATGTGTCAAAACTAATTGAACCATTTTTGGAGAAATATCAAAATGATGCACCATTAGCTCCGTATTTGTATACTGATCTTACTTGTTTGCTTGTTGACTTAATGAATATCTTTGTAAAAAAGGAAGTCTTAGAAAAAGAAACAAGTATAGATCGAATAAATCTTAATAACAATGG